CATTGTCCTTCTCATTCAAGCAAGGTCATCAGCCAGTTGGGCCACATGGCTCAGCCCCTCTCCCAGCCTGAGGGATTAGGGACAGGGACACCACCCCGAGGGGACACGGTTGGGCAGGGGCTCCCTGATTCTGTGGGGTCCCTTGCCTTGGCTGCTGGTCCAAAACCCACCGTGGGTGTGTGAGCCTCTGGCCGTGCCTGGAAGGCACACGGGGCCCTCCTGGCAGCCACCTCCATGCGGGACATGGCTCTGACTCAGTGCATCCTGTGTCACGTGTCAGACTCGGGCCCCTCAGTACACCTGTGTCTGTCTTCAGCCCCCTCCACACGTCCCCTCTCTCATCCTTCCTGTTCGTCCTTCCCACACGGCCAGGCCAGGACCTGTCTCGTGTCCCCTGACACCAAGGTGGATATCTGTAAACTGTGGTCCCCATAATATGTAGGTCCCCGGCCTTGCAGGAGGTCAGGCAGGGGGCAACGTGGGCTCTGGAGCACCAGAGAGGAGCCCCTGCAAGGTCCTGGACTAGAGAGAGTCCCGGAGGGTGTAAGGACCCTGTAGACCAGCTTCCTTTGCAGCGTCTCTTAGGAACAGCCATCCCTCCCCCACATTCCCTGGTTTTTTTTCAATCACTGAAGAATTGGACCTAACCTCCCTTCATCCCCCCAAAAGGTGCCATCTGACCGCAGTTTCAGAAGAACATTCCATCCAGCCCTGGGGAAGGAATTTATAAATATTACCATAGGCTTCTCATACCAAGCCTCTCATAAATCAGCGCTCGGGGCTCCTGGACCTCCCAGACTATATAAAACCACTCCTGTGTTTCCAATTTTAAGTCAAACACAGCCCAGCCCTGCTGGCCTCTGTTGATCCTCACGGATTCCTGGGGCTGATCAAAGGTTCCCCCAGCCAGCCAGCTAAAAAACGACTCTCTGGTGCCCGTTGGAGAATTTAAAATGAAAACGCATGTATGAGGTAGGGACTGCCCCGCGGTGAATGGAAGCAGTGGGGGAGACGGGGTGTGTTTCTCCCCCAAAAGGCAAAGCACAAACAAAGAGAAGATTTCTGAGGAAGATCTGGGCCCCGCCCACCTGCAGACCTCCCACCATCTGCTTTTCTGGCGGTTGTTTCCCTAACAGCCAGGAGCCTGGACCCACCCAGAGGGGGCAAGGGAGTCGGACCCGGAACCGGAAAGGACCCTCCCTGGCCCTCCTGCCAAGGGCTGGGCGCCGGGAGGAAGGGACAGTCGGGGATGCGCCATGGGAGTCAGGCTCGGATAGACCTGGGGAGGGCAGCACGGTGTCCACACCCCCAGGGGAAAGTACCTACAGGGACGGTCAGCAACGAGGTTCTTGCACAGTCCCCCAAACACCTTCTCTCGGGTCTTCCGTTGCTTTCTAGTGTGTTCCGAATTAGCAGGGAGGGGACAGGAGCCAGGCACTTGGCCCAGAAGCAGGGGAAACCCCTGAGCTAAATGTTGGGCGGGTGCAGGCTGGCCACCTCGTGCTGCCCTGAAGGGCTGGAGTAACCGAGCATCTGTGCCCCCCCCCCCCCCCCCGGCCCAAAAAACAGCCCGTGCAAGCCTGCCAGCCACAGGCGGGGCTCGCCCCTCTCAGTCCCCGCTGAGCTGGTCTCGTCTACAGGTCACTACATGCCCCCCAGACTCCAGTTTGGACGGCTTCCCTGTGATAGAGGCACGGCTCACTCTGAGGGAGATGCTTACCCCCCTCTCCCCACCCCGGGACCAGGACCCCGGTGAAATGCTGCATGAGCGGACCTGACTCATTTCCGCCTCAAAACGGGCGGGGTGGCAGCTACGCTTATGAGCCCATTTCAGAGAAGGGAAGACTGAGACCTCGAGCGTTCAAACAACGTCCCCGAAGTCACACATCTAGTACATTCGAGTTCGAAGCTGGGTCTGACTGGCTCCAAGCTCCCCCTTCAGCACCGCCACCAAGAAGCTTCTCTGAGCAAGCAGCCTGAGACCGGGGGTAAGCTGGTCTTACGGAAGCTATGGGAGCTGCAGCGGGGCGGCAAAAGGCGTGGAGCAGGAAAGGCCTCGGAGAGACCACCGCCACTGGGCAGCATTTGGGCAGCCAGCACCTGGAGGAGAGAAAGACCTGGAGCAGTGCTGAGGAACCCAGGAGCCAGGAGCCACAACAGCCGCTGGGTCACAGTTCAGGTGGCCTCAGAGGGGGTGCCGTCCAAAGGTCCTGGGGGCGCCGGGATGGCTTCGTCGGTTGAGCGTCCGATTCCTGGCTTCCGCTCAGGTCACGATCTCCCGGTTTCGCGAGTTCGAGCCCCGCAGCGGGCGCTGTGCTGACAGTGCGGAGCCTGCTTGTGATCCTCTCTCTCCCTCTCTCTCTCTCAAAGAAACGTTTAAGAAAAGAAAAAAAGGCGCCACAACCCAGGGCACCTCTTCGCCCTCCCGCCCCGCTGCTGGCGGTGAACGTGGGCATGGGCGCTGCTCCTCCTGGGAAGCAGAGGCAGCCATGTCACCAGGACAGAAGATGCTCCGGCCGCACCTTTGTGACAGGAGATGTGCATCAGTACAGAGCTCTGTGCAGGTGTCTCTCTGGCCACAGCTGGGCCCAGGCCTCTGTCATCGTACAGAACAGCTGGGCAACGTCTGGGCCCAGGGAGAGCCCTGCCTCCCACCCAAAGTCACATCGCAGGGTCCAGGTGATGGGCAATCAGAAAAGACACATGTCCTCTATTACAGGTTGAATGATGTCCTCCCCCCCACCACCCCCACAAATTCAGACCTCAGAATGAGACCTTAGTTGGAGACAGGGTCTTTATGGAGACAATCGAGTTAAAACAAGGACGTTAAGGTGGGTCCCCAATCCAATACTGTTGACATCCTTACAAGAAGGGGACATCTGGAGACAGAGGGACGACCATGTGAGCACGCGGGGAGAAGACGGTGTCTGCGCGCCCGGGAGAGCAGCCCCAGGAGGAGCCAGGGCCGCCCACACCCGGATCTCAGGCTTGCGGCCTCCAGATGTGAGGTGTTTACGGCCCCCGGGGCCAAGGTGGCTTGTGACAGCAATGCCAGCAAATATGTCCCCAGAGGGAGGCTGGACATATTCGCAGACCCCTTTCTTCCTCTGAGTCCCAGCACGGCTGCTGGGGGCCCGTGCGGAACTGACTTCCTCCTGGGCTCTGTGGGCAGCTCAGCCAGTCGGACGCCCCTGGCTCTGGAGAAGGTGCGGACAGGAAGGAGCGGGGAGGAACATTCCACACGGTGCAGGGCAAGGCTTTCCATGCATTCTGCCGCTGCGTCACAGACTCGGGAGCGGCTGTTGGTGTCGGAAGCCTGGCTCGGCACGTTCGGGGTGGGTAGTCAGCGAGGCCCGGGGTGCGGCCTCTCCGTCCCTGTGCGCGGACACACACGGGCCCGAGGTGGGGATAGACACGTCCCCTTGTAGAGCCTTAGATCCGCTCATCGTCTCAGGTTATCTGGCCTAATCTCCCACCCGGGACCAAAGGCCTCAAAGGGACAGCATCCCGGAAAGGTGGCAACTTCGTACGTCCTCGGAATGCGTCCATCTAGGAGAGCTCGAGGCCAATTGTCCAGCGGTCGGGTAACTTTGATCCTTCGAAAGCGTTTCTTTGTGGGGTCTGAAATGTGCCTCTGTACCACTTCACTCACTGGCCCTTTCTTTCCTTCTGCCTTCGTTCTAGGCAGATTCCAGAGCAGGGGACAGTACGCGTTCCCACATCTCCGAGTGTCCATACTTCAGAGCGCTGCGGATACAATCGCGTCCCCGCCTGCAGCCTCCCCTCATCTCCAGGGTAAGCAGTACTAACTCCTTCAACAGCTTCTTTGGATGACACGTGTTCAGACCCCCTCACCTCTTGACCCATGTCAGCTTTTCTGAAGCCCTCGTGGTGACGCATCGCCGGACCCCAGCGGCGTTTGACCGGCGCCCGTGGCGATGGGGCCACACGTCCCCATCCTGAACACGGCACTTCTAAGAATAAAGCTCCGGGTCAAACCACACTCGTGTTCCAACGCTGTGTCACTCCTTCAACCGATGTCATCGAACGCGTGTGCGCGCGTGTGCTAGGCTTCAGGGGGCACAGGTGCAGATCAGACAGCACACGATTGCACGGGGGACGGATAGGGAAGGGGGTCTGAGAGCGTAGAGGAGAGGGGGCCTGTAGTGCTGGGCGCGGAGGGGCAGGGACCTGCGGGGAAGAAGGAAGCCACCCGGCCCCGCCGCGGCCGGTCCTGAAGGCGGCCAGGCAGATGCGGTGGGTGGGGAGGAGGTGGGCAGGCCTGGGTTTGCTGTTCCCCAGCTGAAGGAACAGCGTGGGAGAAGGCACCACGTGCTTCTGCCTCCTCGTTGTGCAACGACCTTCTAGGCGTCCTCACAAACTCGGCTCCGGTGTCTCATCCACTGGGAAGGCTGACTTTCCCATCCCCCACCCTCCTGGTTAGATCAGCACCTTCTCTCTGTCGTCCAGAGCCCTCGCAGCAGATCTGTGGCCTCTGCGTATATCTGGTGACATCAGCCTGACCCGTTGGTCTCCCGTGTCCCCGCCGAGCGGCCACCCCTCCGGCTGAATGCCTGGCACAGAGCCCGGCCAGAGTCGGTGTCCACAGAAAGCGAGCCGTGTGGATGCGTGGTGGCCGAGTACAGCCCAGCGAGAGACGTCAGCACCATCGTAGGAAGGTGGGCGGTGGAATGAGGTGATGAAAAGCTCCCTCTGTCATTCCGGGGGGCGGGGGGTGTCTGGGCTGGATGCTGCTCGGGCCAGTGCTCTCCTGTCACTACCCCGAAATCCTGAGTGGCTTCTGAATTATTAAGAATGAGGGGCCCATGGGGCGCCTGGGTGGCTCAGTCGGTCGAGCGTCCGACTTTGGCTTGGGTCGTGATCTCGCAGTTCGTGAGTTCGAACCCTGCGTGGGGCTCTGTGCTGACAGCTCAGAGCCTGGAGCCTACTTCTGAGTCTGTGTCTCCCTCTCTCTCTGCCCCTCCCCCACTCATGCTCTGTCTCTCTCCGTCTCTCAAAAATGAATAAATGATAAGAAAAAATTAAAAAAAAAAAAGAATGAGGGGCCCACATTTTCCTTTTCGGCTGGACCCCATAAATCACATAGCTGGTCCTGCGCATCGTGACATCCTTAGCTGGTGGTGCGGGGCCTGCCACGCGGGGGACAGTTCAGCAGGTGCGTGGACTGTCAGGTGCCCACAGACAGCACGGAAAAGTGGTCAGAGGGAAGAAGAGAACCAGGCCCTAGCAGTACGGAGGACTCAGGAGGGGAGGGCTTCGGAGAGAACCCTGTGTGCCCCTGCGTCCTGTGGCCTAGGCCGTGGTAAGGGTGCCTGAGTGTTTGCCGCTGGGGCTCAGGGTCCCACCGGTTGAGGCCTAGATCCGCTGAAGGCCTGCTGTCCTCAGCCTGTCTCTGTTGCCCCTCAGCCCCTTCTATTCTCTGACCCTGAAGAGCAAAGCGGGATGTCTACACAGAGGCTGGAGTTTGTTTCCACACAGCCTGCTGGCACATTTGCCTTGTCCTTCCGGCAGCTTCTTTCTCCAGAAAGCACTGCTGGGATTGCCAGATTAGCATCGGAATGGGGAGAGGGCCACTCCTACAATAGCAATCCCCTGTGGACGGAAGAGAGCCGGACATCAAATGATGCCTTACCTTCCAACCCCGAGGCACGCTCTGCCAGGCCAGCAGGCTCGGGCCCCTCCACAGCAGGCTTAGAGCTCTGGAACTTTCCCGGGGCCTTCTCAGCCAAGACAGCAGATCTCCTTGGGGAAGAGGTCCTAATAACTAAGAAAGTGTGATCAGTCTGGCCTGCGATGGTAAATTCTCCCCCACCGACCCCGTCTCCGATGGCCATCACCACCACCACCGATGGAGGAAAAGAAAATACTCCACAGTGAGTGGGTTAAGGCCTTTCGGTTCAGACAGGGAGGTTAGGCAGAAGCCGGGAAAGTGTTGGTTCTCTTTTCTTGTTGAGAACTGAACCACAAGAAACGGTCTGAGATGGCCACCGGGAAGGTTCTGATTAGTTGTGGCACAGGTTTCGAGATGTCTGCAGAGACGAAACTGGAGTGAACGCGGCCTGTGTGAGAGCACTGATCTTTGTGTATATGGTGGTGGGGGCGGGGGTCGTTGCATCCCCGAAGCCCCATCCAGTGCTGGGCCCCGGGGGTGTACGTAAGCAAGTGTCTGAGGTGACGCATGAAAGGTTCTTTAGAATATCCCAAGAGAGACGGGCCCCATTTCCAAGAACCAGGCTATCCAAATAAAAATCCCATCCAAAGTCCACTACCTCGTTTTAAAAGGAAGCTCTCAGTTCTTCAGTCCCGGGTCTTTGTGGCCTTACGTGAAGCCCAGACCCCGCACAGTCACAGCCTAAAAAATACAGCGGTATTTTTACAGGAGACGCTCCCAGAATGGGGCAAGACTCCACTTGTAACACAAAACCCGTGAGGAAACTTTACTTCTGTTGCCAAATAGAGGTTCCTACTCAAAGGGAACCAGAACAGCCAAAGAGGTTTTGCAAGAAGCAAGCCCTCTGTCGAAACCGCTGCGGGGACGTCAGGAAACTCCGAGGAATGGCTGAAAACAGATTTGTTCCACTGAGAACACAGGGACTTCAGCAAGGCGAGTGAGACCGGGTGTGGGAACCTGGGCTTGTCAACATTCTCATTTCTAGCCTTCGTCACCGTGCGGGGCAGGGGACGACAAGAGGACAGACCCCCCACGTGGGACTATGTCTTTGTGTGGCCTCCTTCCCTACCATGAAGACAAAGCTATACGGATGGCATCTGGAGAATGAACAACCAGGTATTTATTTCAATGCAGCTTGTTTGTTCATTCGTTCATTCATTCATTCATTCGTTCGTTTGTTCATTCGTTCATTCATTCATTCATTCATTCATTCGTTTGTTCATTTGTTCATTCATTCATTCATTTGTTCATTTGTTTGTTCATTCGTTCGTTCATTTGTTCATTCATTCGTTCATTCACTCGTTCATTTGTTCGTTCACTGATTCATTCATTCACTCGGGTAAGAGTCTTACAATTAATTACGTGTTGAATGTCTGCCAGGAGCCAGGCGCGAAGCTGTTTGCTGGACGCGGAGACACTCCTGTCCTCAGGTAACTAATGCTGAGTGAACCACACACACACACTGGGGAGCTGCAGACATCTGGGAACTCAGTGGCTCCAGCACTGAAGCGTCCCCAGGGGAATTGCAAGAGACGCGTGGTGTCCTCAGGACGGTACAGGCTGTGTGACTGCATATTCCCAGTAGGTGAGAGCCTCGGGTTTGATTAGACCTCGACAGAAAGTAAATCCTACACTTCCTGTTTTACATCTGGTGATCGCAAGAATTTCCCCGGCCCAGCTTCTGGCTCTGTCAATCCCAAACCTCATTTCTCTTCTGCTTCAGAGGGCCCCCTTCTCTTCAGAGGGCCCCATCCCTCTGGGGCCCTGCGTTCATGTTATAGTAGCATCACGGGCTGTGTACCTCCATGTGATCATGCCAGTGGTGGTGGGAGTACTCCTGAAAACTCCTGTCCTAGCAGGACATCTGTGTGCACGGTGGCTGGTCACACAGGGAAGGGACGGTGGACGTGGCCGCACTTAAATAGCTGACCTTTGCAAATTGTACAACATGTGACCCTGGGAACAACTGTAGGGCCCCTCTCAGGCTAGGAAGGGGTCCCGGGAGAGAGGGCCCCTGAAGCAGAAGCTGGAGCTTGCTTTCATCCAGGTCGACACGTAGCCGGGTGAAGGACGGAGCCTTCCGTATCCTTGACTCCTCTCGACTTATCCTGCCGAGCGCAAAGACAAGTCGTGATGATGGCCTGGAGGTGGCCTCAGGTCTGCGTCGAGAGGCACAGACACACATTTAAATCGGGCTCTTGACAAATGCCAATAAAAGGTGCCGTGACGCTAGACCCTTGCTTCTTCTGTTGGGTCTGACCTCTTCTCTGCCTCTCCACGCTCCTCCCCCACTTTCCCGGCGTGCGGACTTCTCTCTGCCAGACCACTCTTTCCAGGGCTTGCTGCCTTCATTTCTCCTGGTAAGTCTACTCCTGGCTTTCTTTCCATTCTCAACATATGTAGACCTATATTGTTCTGTCTCCTCCCCTCTGCCCTCCTCCTCCCTTCCCCTCTGCCTTCCCCTCTCCCCCCCCACCCTCCTTTTCTCCTCTCCCCCCTGTCTCCTCCCCTCCCATCCTCTCCCCTCCCATGCCTCCCTTCCTCTCCAATCCCTCCTTCCCGCTCTACCCCCAGCCCCCTCCCCTTCTCATCCCCTTCCCTCCCTCCCCCTTCTCTTCTCTCTTCCTCTCTCTCCTCTCTCTCGCTTTCTTGGTCATCTCTCTATTCCAAGATCTCTGCCCCGCTGTCTCTTTTCCCCTCCTGGCTTTTACTCTAACCTTTCTCTCCGTTACTTCTGCCTCTGTGTGTTCAGATCTTTCGCTCTTGGCTCTTTCCCCCAACTTTCCCTGCTGCCTGCCACTTCTTTCCAAATACAACCCAACCTCCACTCTGTCCTAAAATATTTTTTTCCCCTATTTATTCACTACTTGTTTAAGAACTTGATCTGGAGACAGAGCCTTACTGCAGATTGGTTTTCCTTCCTGAGGCATGAGAGCCTTTGAGCAGCCCTTCCCTTCTGGCTACAGCACAGGGAGCAAGGCCAGAAACAGTCGGAGCTGGTCCAGGGCCCTTTGCTGGTGTTTTTTCAGGCATGCCATAGAGGGGAAGGTCTCTCGGTACATCCTGTATCTCAGACGCAGTGGGGAAGCCAAGAAGAGAAGCCCATGGCAGTTGTTTGGGAATCCTTCTCAGCACTTTCTTTTTATTCTGTTGTCTGACTTTCTACAGAAACCTACACCTGCATGTGTATCACTCAGTCAAGTTCTGCTGGAATGCCTTCTGTGAGCTGTGAAGAGCAAAACCAGTCCTTGTCCTCAACAAGCTTATTCTTTAGTGTCTGTGGGCACAAACCTATTACCTGTAAACAGTCAGAGGACATGTAAGTAACAAAATGTATGCTGCTGACCATAAACGCACTAACTCAGAGAGAGAGAGAGAGAGAGAGAGAGAGAGCCTAGAATCAAAGAAGATTTTAGGAGGGGTGGGGCTGGTGTTGCCCCCGCAGGGGGAGTGGGCTTGGAGTCTGCAGAGGGAGATGTCTGCAGAGGAGGATGTCTTATAGGAGGAACAACAGCACGAGCAAAGCCACACCTCGGGCACTAGCCAGCATCCAAGGAGAGCAGGAGACAGCCTGAAACAACAGTGATGGTAGATGCCGGGGTGGGTAATGTGGGGCTTCCACAGGGTGGAGACAAGGCACTGGGGACTCCTAGTCTGCCTGAGTGGCTAGAACAAAATACCAAGACTATAAGACACAATATCAACATATAAAAATCAACTTTATTTCTATGTATACTAGCAGCGACCACCTGGACACTGAAATTAAAAATAAAATACCATTTATAATTGCTAAGAAAAATAATCACAATACCTAGGTGTAAAACTAACAAAATACACGTAGGACTTTTATGATAAAAACTGCCGAAAAAAAATCAGAGAAGATCTAAACAAATGTAAAGACATACCATGTTCATGGATTGGAAGACTCAACATCTTAAAGATGTCAATTCTCCCCAAACTGACAGGTTTAAAGCAGTTCCTATCAAAATCCCAGCAAGACTTCTGTAGATATGACAAGATTATTCCAAAATTGGTATCGAAAGGCAAAGAAACTACAAGAGCTAAACAATTTTGAACAAGAATCATACAGTGGAGAAACACAACAAACGAACAAAGAAAAAAGTAGGCAAACCGAAAAAACTGACTCTTAACTATAGAGAACAAACTGATGGTTACCAGAGGGGAGGTGGGTAGGAGGATGGGTGAAATTAGTGAAGGTGATTAAGAGTACACTTATCATGATGATCACTGAGAAATGAATAGAATTGTTGAATCACTATATTGTACACCTGAAGCTAATATAACACTGTATGATTCCTATCCTGGAATTAAATTTTTTTAAATAAAAAGTTAAGAATCATAAAGTGGAAGACAACAGTACACCCAATGTCAATACTTACTGTAGACCTACAGGAATCAAGACAGCAGAGCATTATTGGCTGAGGGACAAACACGTGGATCAGTGGAACTGAATAGAGAACCCAGAAATGAACCCACATGAAGATACCTGAGTCATATTCCGATTCACTGGAAGGCAGAGAGCCTTTTTAAAGAAATGGTGCTGGTGCGATTGGGTCAGAAAAAAAATTACTTCAACCTAACCTAAGTCACACCTTATACAAAAATTAGCTCAAAATGGAGCACAGACATAAAAAAAAAATCTTTGGGACCTAGGACTAGGCAAAGTGTTTCTGGATTTGATACCAAAAATATGATCAAAAAAAAAGGAAAGAGTGATACACCAGACTTCATCAGAATTAAAACCTTATACTCCACAAAACACCCTGTTTAGAGAATGAAAGTACAACCTATAGACTAGGAGAAAACATTTGCAAACCACCTATTTGACAACGGACTACTCACTGTCTAGAATATATAAGGAATTCTCAAAATGCAACAGTAAAAAAAAAAAAAGAAGAAAAAAGTTCCAATGAGAAAATGACAAGCCAAAGAACCTGAGACATTTCACTGAAGAAGATCTACAAACAGAAAATCAACTCAAGAAAAGGTTCTCAACATCATCATTCATTAGGGAAATGCAAAGTAAAGCCACAATGAGAGCTCACTGTCTCCAGAATTATTGAAACAAAAAACAATAGCGAAACCAAATGCTGGTGATGAGGTGGGGAACTGGATTACTCATGCCTTACTGATGGGGATAGAAAATGGTACAACCACTCTGGAAAGGAGTTTGACATTTTCTTAAACAGACACACACACACACAAACTAAACATGCAGTGATCCAGTAATTACACTCCTAGGCATTTACCCCAGAGAAGGAAAAACTTATAGTCACATTAAAAAAAAAAAATAGTATACAGATGCTTTACAGTTGCTTTATTTGTAATGGTCCCCGGCTGGAAACAATCCAGACATTCTTCAATGGGGGAACCGCAAATGGTGGTTCATCCACACGTGGAAAATTACTCATCACGAAAAAAAAAAAAAAAAAAAAGAAAGCGCACACACACAGTAACCTAGATGAATCTCCAAAGAATTATGCTGAGTGAAAATAATCTAATCCCGAAATGCCACGTGCCATATGATTCCGTTTAGACAACGTCCTCGAAACGACACAGCTATACAAATGGAGGACAGATCGGTAGCTGCCAGGAGTTAAGGTAGAAATGGCGGCTAAAGTGGGCGTGGCTGTCAAAGGGCTTCAGGAGGGATCCTGGCAACGATGGAGACATTCTGGACCTTGTGTGCTAATGTCAGTATCTTGGTTGTGATACTGGACTTCGGTTTTGCAAAATATTACCACGGGGAAAATTGTGAAGCGTGCACTGAATCCCTCTCCATTATTTCTTAAAGTTACACATGTGCTGCAAACTTGTATATTACGAGCTGAAAGTCTGGGTAGTCAACAGGCAAATTTTACACTCAGGGTGCTGAGAAATTACTCCCCGAAAGGGAAGCCATTCTTGGGCCGGTTACTTGCAGTCACAGGCAATGCAGCCACAAACGCACAAATTCTGTCATTTTACAGATGTGCCGGAGGGTGGAAAATGTGGAGAAGCTTTGAGTGAAGGCATTGAGAAAATCCTCACCCCCCAAATGAAAATAACGAAATAAGAAATGAAATACGATTACTTCTTTGAGATTAAAGACCAGAATGCAATACAGTATCTCAGTACTGTTCAGTACAGTAAATCCAGTGAAACCAGGTTTCTTTTTCCTTTTTAAATATTGTTTTTTAAATTTTAAAATAAGCTGCATGTCCAACGTGGGGCTCGAACTCACGACCCTTAGATCAAGAGTCACATGCTGTACTGACTGAGCCAGCCAGGTGCCCCTAAAGCTGGATTTCTAAGCCTCAACATATGGTCAGTATTTAATGTTAATTTTATGGAGAACTGTGTAAATATCTCCGAAATATGTGTTTTACTAGAATCCAGCTAGGGAGAAATATTAATAAAGTAGTTACTACAAATTTTTTTATTTTTATTTTTTTAAGTTTATTTATTTATTTTGAGAAAGAGAGACAGAGCATGAGCGGGGGAAGGGCAGAGAGAGAGGGAGACACAGAATCCGAAGCAGGCTCCAGGTTCTGAGCTGTCAGCACAGAGCCCGACACGGGGCTCGAACTCACGAACCACGAGATCATGACCTGAGCCAAAGTCGGACGCTTAACCAGTGGACGCTAAGCCACCCAGGTGCCCCAGGATTTGGATTATTTTAAGTAGTTTATTATTTTTTTTAAATGCTGAGAATAACATCCTGGTGTCCATTTTTTTGGAGACACAAATAATAATAATAATAATAATGCGCCCATTTAATGTGTATCCTGTAGGGGTGCCTAGGTGGCTCAGTCGGTTGAGCTTCCAACTCTTGATTTCGGCTCGGGTCATGATTTCAGTTTGTGAGTTCAAACCCCGCCTTGAGCCCTGTGCTGATTGCATGGAGCCTGCTTACTATTCTTTCTATTTCTCTTCTATTTCTCTTGCTATTTCTCTCTTTCTAGCCTTCCCTGCTCACATGCATGGGCTCTCTCTTTCAAAATAAATACATAAACTTTTTTTTTAAGTGTGTCGTTAAAAATAAGCAGTTGCTTAGGAAAAGCACATCTGATCAGAGACTAAAGAGAAAAAAAATTAATTAATTAAAGTGTACAGGTTAATGTTTGTTCGTGTGTTCACAGAGCCGTGAAACCATCACCACGATCCGATTTTGGAACGTTTGGCAGTCAGTCTCCACCCCACTCACACACCCCCACGCGCACCCCCAGCCCTAAACAACCACTCACCGATCGGCTTTCTGTTCCTATCAATTTGCCTCCAGAGACGAATTCTGTACATTTCATATCAATGAAATCAGAAACGTGTGGTCTCTTAGGACCGCCTGCTCTCACTTAGCACAACGTTTGCAAGGGTCATCCGTGTGGCAGCGCGTGCTAGGACTTCATTTCTACTTCTTGCTGGATAACGTGCCATCGTTTGGATCTGTCACAGTTCGTTTATCCCCTCGGCACCTGATGGACATTGGGTCGTCTTCACTTCGCGGCTATTGTAAATAGTGCCGCTAAAAACATTCACAAATTATTATTTTTGAATAATAATTTGTAATTTGTGTGTGCGTGGATGACGCTTTCATTTTCTTGGGCTCACACCTACGAGTGGACTTTCTGGGTCATATGACTAACTTTAACCTGATGCCCCTTGGTGATTATTTAAGATCCCTCCTGTTAAGAAAATAATTGGTCAGAACATAGGGGCCTCTTTGAGGATTCTGATGCATGGTGACAAATAACACGCCTCAAAATTATACCAGCTTCTGCTGCCTTAACGGTGAAAATGTGGGGTCCAGAGGCTCTTTAGGGCTCAGACCCACAGCCATCCCATCTCTGTTTGGACCTGCAGGGTCTCCCACGGCAGCCTGCTGGACAAGGCTTAGTAGAAGGAGCCAGAAGGTCTGGGTTCCTCTCCCAGGCCTGCTTCTCGCTGCTGGATGGGCCACCCAGAGGAAGTTATCTCTTCCTTGGCGAAAGGAAGAGAATCCCAGGAAGCTCCTCCCTCCCCTGGGATGAAAGGGGCCCTCAGTGCTGCGGCCACGGCCTGTGGGGTTCTCTTTCCTGAATGTCCCCCCACCCCAAGGCCGGTGTCTTCCTGGAGGCCGAGTGGACAGGCCGCCCCATGGGTCCGCCCGGTCGGCCGGCGGTCCACGCGCTAAGGGGTTGAGGGGAGCCCGTGTCTCTGGCCCGGTCCACGGTGCCCGTGCCTGGACGGTGACCGGGGTTCAAAGTCTCTACCGCAAGCCCCGCGGAGCACCTGTCCCAGGGTTTATGGGAGATTGCACCTGCCTTCAGGGTGCTGAGAAAGTTATCAGAGGCCTGGAACCGGGAATCCGGCCTGGGGCCTGGTGTCAAGATTCCATCAGAATGAGACACGCGTCCCAACCCTCGTGTGGGGGCCACAGGGCGGACCGGGTCAAACGGACACACCCACCCCTCGTCCCGAGAGACACCTGTTCCCGCCGGAGGAGACCTGAACGCTAGCTCGATTTCCCTTGCTAGGCACAGAGGGCTTATCGGAGAGATGCAGACACTTAACTAAGATGTGCTGTTAGGCGTAAGCGTCTGCCACGTCCTGGGCACGTGGCACACGTCACTGGCAGTCCTCACAGCAATCTTGAGGGTGGGCCTTGCGCCTATTTCCCAGGTGAAGAAACTGAGATTCAGAGAGGTTAAGTAACTTGCCTGGGGCGCTGAAGCCAGACATCCGTGACGCTCTTTTCATTTCGTGACGACGTGTTGGGGATGTGACCCGGGACCCACCTACGGGTCTTTCCCCGGGCCAGGAAGGACCCGCCGTGGGCCGGGTGGTGAGCGGCGGGGGAGGAGAGGGCGAGCGTGCTGAGGTCCTGGCCCCACCAGAGCCCGCGGGGGACCCACCCAAGCGCCCTCCCGGGCCCTGACGGTCTGGCCCCCCCAGAGCCCGCGGGGGACCCACCCAAGCGCCCTCCCGGGCCCTGACGGTCTGGCCCCCCCTCGTGTCGCTTCCCCCTCTTCCCCTGCAAAGCGCCTTGTGAAACGGGTTTCGCCTTCCAGCTCAGCTCATGAGCCGAGGGAAGCTCTCGGGCCTCCTCGGGGTGTCTGTGGCTGGTGACAGGAACCGCTCGTGATGAGTCACCCCCAGAGCAGTGTATCAAAGAGCGGGGCAGACGCGGGTGGGTCTGGAGAGCGGCCGGTGTCAGCTCCGGGAAGCCGGCTGCTGGCGTGAGTCTGTGTGTGGGACAGAGGACAGTCCCCCAGGGAAGGAGCCTCGGGTCAGACCGCTGGCTGAGCAAAAGGCAGTCACGCGGCACTGAAGAAAGCAAACTCCATCTGTGTCTGGGATCCAGGGTGCCACAGGGTGGCACACGGTGCCATCTGTGTCTGGGAGGTCAGGGCACCGCTCCTGACCCGCGAGGCCCGGCTGGAGGCCCCCGGGGGGGGGACAGGGCCGGCTGCCGGTGGTGTCAGCGGGCTGACCCCCCAGCGGGTCTGGGCGTCTCTGGGGGACGTGCCCGAACCCGCCGGCCTTTAGGGAGAAGAGCAGTTATCGGCGTGACCACCGTCAACATCGTCACTGCACGCCGACTGCTGTGGCCCCCAAGCCTGCGTCCTCCCCAAACCCACGCGTTGAAACCCAAGCCCCGCCGTGATGGTCCTAGGAAGCGGGGGCCTTTGGGAGGCGATGAGGTCCCGAGCTGGATGCTCCGTGAGGGATTAGTGCTCCTGCAAAAGAGACCCCTCCCACCGTGTGAGGACACATCAGGGGGACGACGTCGTCCTGTGGGCCACGAAGAGGGTTCTCACCCGACACCAGAGCCGCTGACATCTCGATCCTGGACTCCCAGCCCCTGGAACTGTGACGAATGAACGTCTGCGGTGTTTGTTCCAGCAGCTCACCAGACAACAGCCTCACGCTTGCCCCTCATCATTCAAAACATTCTCCCTGCGGTGTGGACCACGGTTCTCTCTATAGCGTCTAGCTAAATTAATACTCACCTATTGGATGAACTGCTAGCCTTAGCTGAGGGTCCAAAGATATGGTGGAAGGCACGAAGAAGCAGGAGACAGGGTTCCCACCCTCAAGAAACTTGCATTCAACGCAGGAGTCAAAATAGAGACTCACTGAGAACGATGCCCAACACCACACTGTGAATTGTAAGACTGTGTGGTTACAACTCAAATAGTATTGGGGGTTTAGAGAGGACAGAACACCGCAGCATTTAGAATCCTAGTTAGAGTAATCGGGGGAGGCTTCCCGGAGGTGGTGAGGCCCGAGTGAGTCTTTGAATGATGAGTCCAGAAGACGGAAGATGAACATGCGAGGTGGGAGGACCAGCATGAACTCAGTACTGAATTCAGAGCTGGCTCTAGGTGTGTGGCTTATTCACTCCTTGGCCCCACTACGATCCTCTACTCAAATAGTAGATGGTGGGGTGATACCATTTCTTGAGTCCCCACTAAGTGCCAGGCACCTGATGTAAATTACCTGCTTTAATTTTTGCAACAAAACTGATCATTACCCCCAGCTCCCGAATAGGAAAATTGGGGCTGACGGAGGTTAGGGAACTTGCCTGAGATCATACAGCGGAGTGGCCGAGAGGATTCCAACCTGGCCGTGCCGGGGCCCTTCCATGGGACTTGTTGTCCCCTCCCCCACCCCCCGGCTGGCAGTAGCCAGCTTAGCTTTGTGCTCTGCCAGACGCCCCTAAAGGATTTTCCCCTATCCCAGCCACCACTCCTTGAAAGGCTGCTTCCACCAGGAAGCCTCTCCTGACCACTGTTCGGTCACACATGCTCACTCCTCCTTTGGGTTTAAAGCTCCCTGGGGTCACCATGCATCTTGTGATCGAAAGTGTCTTTAAATTAACATGGCGGTGGGGGGGGGGGGTTGGTACCTCGGTGGCTCAGTCGGTTAAGCGTCCAACTCTTGATCTTGGCTCAGGTCATGATCTCATGGTTCATGAGTTCAAGCCCCACGTCAGGCTCTGTGCTGTCAGTGTGGGATTCTCTCTCTGCTCCTCCCCCACTCGTGCGCTCTCTCTCCCTCTCAAATAAAACTTATAAACAAAATTTTATTTATTTATAATTTTTTAAAATGTTTTTTATTTATTTTTGAGACAGAGAGAGACGGAGCATGAGCAGGCGAGGGGCACAGAGAGAGGGAGACACAGAATCCGAAGCAGGTTCCAGGCTCTGAGCTGTTAGCCCCGAGCCTGACGCGGGGCTCGAACTCATAGACTGTGAGATCATGACCTGAGCTGAAGTCAGACGCTTAACCAACTGAGCCACCCAGGCACCCCATTAAAAACAAAATTTTAAAAATAAACATTGGCAGCGGCTGCCCCTGGGGGCAGAGACAGGAGAGGCACAAGGAAACTTTGGGGGTTGATGCTTGTGTTCATGATTTTGTTTGGGGTGATAGTTTCGTGGGTGTAGTCACATGTCAAAATGCCCACTTTAATTAAATATGTTCCGTGTCTCATTTGTCAATTATACCTCAACAAGGCTGCTTGAAAAAAATTCCAACTCTGGGCTATCTTACTCCAAAAAAACCCCAAAATTATGAGGGACAGGATATTTCCTTAGTGCCCCCAGAAGACTGGTGTGCTGTCTACACAGGGCCCAGGACAGAGCTGGGCATGGTGTCCTGCTCCTCAGGTGCAAGCTGGGAAAGGCTCCCCCACCCCCCACGTCTCAGCACCAGCTTCACGCACAGAGGCACCAGGCACTGTGACATTAGGCTGTGCCACAGCGACATGTCAGGAACCCAGCCTGTTCTTGCTATCTGTCCTTCAGAGCAGGTGTGGGCCAGGCACGGCACTGCCCATTTTTTAACAGATAAGGAAATGGAGCCGGAGGCAGGAAAGGTTATAAACTTTCGTCACCTGTGGGTGAAGGTAGAAATAACTCACTTCTTCCTTCTCTAGCTGACTCAGGACAAAACCTGGCCTGAGGTCTGCACCCCATCACAGCACCCCCCAAACGCCCTCCTGACTGGCCATGCACTAACAGCTGCTCAACTCAGCCTGCTAAGAGCACAAGGCCTCCTCATGCAGCCAGGGTGTCCAGCAGTGGGAGGCCTTTCCTTTTTGTCTACTCCCCTGTTTCTTTCAACACAGCTGGGCTCAGTTATACTGGATTATGCACATTAGGACCATCATTCTTAGGACAACGGCATGATTTTTCCCCACCAGGGCATTGTTCCTTTTGCTGGAGGGATGAATTAATACTGTTAGGTTAACTCTGGATGCAGGGCTGCCATGTTCGGTGTTACAAGTTGTGCACTGCACAACTGAGGAGCTACCCATTGCACAGTGACATACCAGGAGGGATTTATGATTTAATGGGAACACAGAAATCATAATACAGGTCTCTCTTTGCTATAGATGAAGGGCTAGGAACAAGCACACTTGTCCATTCCAGTGACTAATGACAAATGGTATAGGACACGAGGCTAAGCCCAGGTTGAGGTCGGCGTGAGCTGGTTGTGGCCCTAGCCTAGCCAGGAACCAGCTGTTTCACCTTAGGCAGAAACCC